CTCTCTCTCTCTCTCTCTCTCTCTCTCTCTCTCTCTCTCTCTCTCTCTCTCTCTCTCTCTCTCTCTCTCTCTCTCTCTCTCTCTCTCTCTCAGGTAGTACTCGCTCACTCTTGCTCTCTGCCTCACTGTCTCTCGCTTCTCTCTCTTACTTGGACTGCTCACTCTCACTCTCACTCTCAGAAACTTGGCACTTAACCCTCACGGCTATGGTGTCTTCCTCCTCCCTCACTAGACCTATATGGTACCTACCGCCGACTGCACTGCCAATCTGCCCGATCAGTCTCCTCAAGCCGTCGCACAAGCGTACATCACCGCTTCTGCAACGCGCGAATATGTAGCCGGTAATGGTTTCTGATGGCCTGTCGGCTGCACTTTTGCCAGTTCCGGAACTCACTGGACCTTCCCAGGATGCTGCTGCTAAAATTAGACTGGGATTTTGGACTTTTCTTGTCAGGTACTGGACCCACCGGATTTCCAACGACCTAAGACACCTGACGACCTACTTTGCCTGAATCGGTGTTTTGGCCGCTGGGCATGCCGGTTCCGCCGTAGGAAAAGGAAAAACGAAAGAAAAAACGGAAGGAATGAACAAACAAATGAAAGAAACGAACGAATGAAAGAAAGAAGGAAAGGAAGAAAGAAACGGGTCGGTCTCCACTACTCTCCACTATACAATTTTCTACAGTTTTTTCATCACTCCGCCAACTCTACAAACCAAGTTGTGAAATTCTCTTGTATAGCTGTCAGACATCCCGTAGGAAAAGCACTCTCAACAGTTGTATAATTCCCAGCCTGCAAAATCCATTAGTCATCGAGTGCTCGGTCGAGCTCACGATTTGGCTTCGAATGTGTAGAGTCCGCCTCCAGTCTGGGCAGCCGAGATGCTGATGACGGCGTGTCTTCGACTGCTGTCACCCTGTCTTCTTCTGCCGTCACGAATTGGAGAGCCCTTGGATAGTTGGAGCTGTACAGTTAGTGCAGCTACAACTCGTTTTCCACCATTTTGTATAGTCTGACGACTATAGTGTTTGACTATACAAACACTACACACATTTTTTTCGTATAGTGCAGAGTAGTGGAGCGAGACCCAAAGAATGAAAGAATGAATGAACGAAATGATTGCAAATAAATAAACAAATAATAATCATAAAAAATAATGATGATAAATAAATAATAATAATGATAATAAATAAATAAATGATTATAATCATAATCAGGGTTACCTGACCGAACGTTCGGGGGGCCCCGGGCTGGCCCCCGAACGTTCGGGCGTTCAGGGTCCCGTTCGGGGGACGAACACCTCCAGGTTCGGCCCCCGCCAAAAACATTTTCGGGGCCTAAAAACACGTTTTTTTTTCTGTTTTTTTTTTTTGTGAGTTCTCTATGATGAAACCTACACGCCTATAAATTTTGAAGCCACTCTGCTAAGCCAAAAAAACATTAAAAATCGTC